GAAAGGACGAGAAAAGCTGAAAGGCCAGGGGCGTGGTGAGTAGGGTGGGGGCTTATGATGGGTGCACTGTATTTGGCAGGGGCCACATCCCCCAGAGCCTACATCCCGCATAGCTGCTGTGATGATGAGAATGTTGAGAGAGTGATGTATTCATGACACCCAGCCCAGGATCAAATTAAGTGCATTACCCAGCTGGCCATCTGCATCCATTGGTGCCATACCCATATATTAGGCGAACTGCAGTTGAAGATATTTGAAAAAGAACGGGACTGAGATGTAGTTGTACATCAGGTGTTTGGTATGCACAAGGTCCTGGGTTCAATTCCCATTCACACATGCATGCACACACACAAGATTTTTTTGTAAAAAATTGCATCTGTATTGAACACGTACAGACTTTTTCAATCCACTGTAACACCTTACATAGTGTAGTCATAGTGTAATAGTTATTTACATAGCTTTTTTTTTTTTTTGAGACAGGGTCTCACTATGTAGTTGAGACTGACCTGGAACTCACTATATAGCCCATGCTGGTCTCGAACTCACAGTGATCCTCCTGCCTCAGCCTCCCGAGTGCTGAGATTACAGGCATGCGCCATCACACCCAGCTACATAGCTTTTATATTACATTAAGGATCTTAAGTATTCTAGAGATGATTTAAAATATACAGGAGGTTGCCGGGCATGTTGGTGCATACCTGTAATCCCAGCACTCGGGAGGCTGAGGCAGGAGGATCGCTGTGAGTTCGAGACCAGCCTGGGCTATATAGTGAGTTCCAGGTCAGTCTCAACTACATAGTGAGACCCTGTCTCAAAAAAATAAAACAAAAATATACAGGAGGTTGAGTGTTAGCCATATGCAAACACTGTAGCATTTTATATAAGGGATTTAAGCATTTATGGATTTTTGGTCTTTGTGCGTGTCCTGGGAACCAAGCCCATGCAGACACAAAGGGACAACTGTGTATGCTCACTCCTCCCTACCATCTCCCTTGCTTGAAAATGTGTGGGTGTTTAGGAAAAAGAAAGAAGTTCCTAATACTTGGATGAGACAGATGTTTGAGAGCCCTGGAAAGGCCCAGCTGGGGCTGGATTAAGCAAAGTGTTGCATTCTAGGCTGTTTAGTTTGCCACACAGGCATTGGGGTACCATGGAGGTATTGCAACAGGGGAGTAGTGTGATCCAGCAAATCATGAGGCTGGAGCAGGAGCGGGTAAACCTTAAGCCGTGCCTTGGTGGCAGAATAAGCACACCGGTCATAGCACCCTCCTTGCTGCTTTTGCAGGTGGTTCCTCGAGTGTTTGGGCGCGTGGTGGGGAAGAGCCGGGAGGCTGTGGCCCAGGCCATGGTGCTGGAGATGTTCAGAGAGGAGGACTACTACAATGATGATGTTCTAGACCAGATGGGTGCTAGTATCCTGGGTGTGGAGGGGCCCCGGCGCCACCCCGATGAGCCCCCAGAGGATGAAGTCTTTGAGCTCTTCCCCATGTTCATGGGGGGGCTTCTGTCTGCCCACAACCGGGCTGTGCTGGCTCAGCTCGGCTGCCCCATCAAGAACCTGGATGCCCTGGAGAATGCCCAGGCCATCAAGAAGAAGCTGGGCAAGCTGGGCCAGCAGGTGCTGCCCCCCTCAGAGCTCCTTGACCACCTCTTCTTCCACTACGAGTTCCAGAACCAGCGCTTCTCTGCTGAGGTGCTGAGCTCCCTCCGCCAGCTCAATTTGGCAGGTGTGCGCATGACACCCCTCAAGTGTACAGTTGTGGCAGCTGTCCTGGGCAGTGGAAGGCATGCCTTGGGTGAGGTGAACTTGGCTTCCTGCCAACTGGACCCTGCTGGGCTACGCACACTCATGCCTGTCTTCCTGCGTGCTCGGAAGCTGGGGTGAGGACCTGTCCTCAGGCATAGGCCTGAAGAGAGAAGAGGGTTGTGGGAGAGAGAAAGTGCTAGGGAAACCAATAATCCCGAGGAAGGACCCGAGGGTGGGTATTCATTCACCTGTTTTCTGTTGCCATAACAAAACACCTGAGGTTAGATACTTTATAAAGAAAAGAAAAGTTGCTGGGAATTTAGCTCAGTGGCACCATGCCTGCCTTGAAAGTGCAAGGTCCTGAGTTCAATCCCCAGTACAAAAGAAATGTATTTAACTCCCTGTTTTGGTGGCTGAGAGTCCAAGATTGGGCAGTTGCATTGGTTCAGTCTTTGTAGAGGGACCCCTAGGCTGCATTACAACGTGCATGCAGGGGAGGCCAAGAGCAGTGTGGCCTTGCTTTCAGGAGGACTCATTAACTTTGCAAGGCCTACATTAAACTTTTTCCCCAGTGGCCTAATTTCCCTGCACAGGCCTCCCTCTCAAGGTTCTGCCAAGTTGGTCCATAATGTGGTGGTCCCCAATACTGCCACACTGGGGACCAAGCCTCTAACTCGAGAACTCTTGGGGAACAAACCACATCCAGACCATATCAGGGTGGGATAAAGTCTGGTGTGGGTGGAGATGACAGGTGTAACAGGTAGGAAGTAGGTGTGGGTGTAGAGGCAGTCTGGGGAGGAAAGGGTGCTGTAGATGGGAAGCCTCCGTGCTGAACTCCCTCCTCTCACCTCCCCTCTGGCCCCCTTTCTAGCTTGCAACTCAATAGCCTGGGCCCTGAGGCCTGCAGGGACCTCCGAGACCTGCTGCTGCATGACCAGTGCCAAATCACCACCCTGCGGTAAGTACTCCAGGAGGAGTTTGGGAGGGAGGGTCTGGCCATCCTGGTGGCCAGTGCATGTTGAGGGTGACTCCCTGCCTCAGAGCATACCTGGCACAGTTAAGGGAGTAGGAGTCAAGACCCTGTGCAGACCTCTTGCCCAGGTTCATTACTAGTGAGATGGGTAGGATGCTACCAGTAATAGGTGCGAAGAAAGCCTCTCTCCTGGCTAACATCAGCCTGAGTGCAGAGAGGCTGCAGTAATAATTGGGCTGCTTGCCTGGTAACAGAGCCCTTGATCCCTCCCAGGACTCTACCTACAGTCTCACAAGGATGACCATAGGGCTGGGCGCTTACTAAGAGCTCTCAAAGTGTTGGCTGATCTACTAGGAGCCTCATTTCTGGTTGGGGTGAGGGGAGACAAAGGAGGAGCTGAGGGAAGGAGGAACAGAAGGGAGGAGCCAGAGAGCAGGGAGAAGGCATAGGCTAGGGAGGCAGTGAACAGAGGAAGGTGGGAAATAGTGAGGAGGAGAGGGGAGAAAGGAGTCAGGGAGCAAAACAGATGGAAAGAGGGGAGAGAGGAAAGAAGAAGCCTACTTTCCCTCGTGGCCCCTCCTCTCAGGGGCCGTACCCACTGTCCCCTTCTCCTGAGCCTGCATTTTTTGTGCACAGGCTTGTCTCCACCCCAGATTATGTCCTGTTTAGCCAGTCTAGGGCATCTGTCATAATCTGGGGTTGCTTGTGGTCATAGGTTATCCAACAACCCCCTGACTGCAGCGGGTGTCACCCTGCTGTTGGAGGGGCTGAAGGGAAACACCTCACTGACACATCTGTCCCTGCTGCACACTGGCCTTGGGGACGAGGGCCTGGAATTGCTAGCTGCCAAGCTGGACCACAACCATCAACTGCAGGAGCTGAACGTGGCCTACAACGGCGCTGGTGACAAGGCAGCCCTGGCCCTGGCCAAGGCAGCCCAGGAACACCCTTCTCTGGAGCTGCTGCAGTGAGTCCTGTCCCTGGTTCCATGGCCCCTGCCCCTCAGTCCTTTCCTTTCCACTGTGTTCCTCCTACTCCAGGACTGTTCTGGGCCTGGGCCTAGTGTCTGTCCTCTCTTCTTGGATTTTGGCCAGTCCCTGCCAACCAGTACTGAACTCACCCACCTTCTCTGTGACTGGCCTCTGTGACTGTGTTCCCTACTGCCATTCTCCTAGGGGCCTGTTGTCCCTGTCCCACAGAAGTCTCATGTCAGTCCCTGCCTTCCACTGGCCAACACTGGCCACTACTGGCTCATTGCAAATTCTTACCCTATTACTCATGGCAGCCAGGGGCCAAGTTGGCCATCCTGTCCCTGTCTCCTGACTGTGCATCCACCTCTGGGTCTTCCTCAGAGCCCCAATGAGTGGTCTGCCCTTCTCTTTCCCACCAGCCTCTACTTCAATGAGCTGAGCTCAGAGGGCCGCCAGGTCCTGCGAGACTTGGGGGGCACTGCTGAAGGTGGTGCTCGGGTTGTGGCATCGTTGACTGAGGGGGCAGCTGTGTCGGAGTACTGGTCAGTGATCCTCAGTGAAGTACAGCGGAACCTCAACAGCTGGGATTGGACCCGGGTCCGGCGCCACCTCGAGCTGCTGCTTCGGGATCTGGAAGATAATCGAGGTGCCACCCTTAATCCCTGGCGCAAGGCTCAGCTGCTTCGAGTGGAGGGTGAGGTCAAGGCCCTCTTGGAGCAGCTGGGAGGCCCTGGGAACTGAATAGTGGCAACTGAGACCTAGCTGTGGGACCACTGGCTGGATTTCCTTCCCTCTGGCCCAAACTCCTTCCCACCTGGCTTGTTCTACTCCTGGAAAGGTCCCCTCAGCTGGGCACAGTAGTGCATGCCTGTCATAGCCCAGTCAATCAGGAGGCTGAGGCAGGAGGATTGCAATTTCAAGACTAGCCCGGGCAATTTAGTGAGATCCTGTCTCAAAATGAAAAACAAAAAGGGCTAGGGTTCTAGCTCAGTAATAAAGGGCTGACCTAGCATATGCTGGGCCCTGGATTCTATTCCCAGTACTAAGGGTGAAAAAAAAAA